GGCGGAAGTCCCAACATCTTGCTTTCTGAACCTGATCAAGGACTGTCTCTTAAAACAGATGACTATGAAGTAGAGATCCGAATTTTAAGAATGAACCAAAGCAATTATAATTCAGATAGGTAATAACTTGATATATTCTGGAAACTGGCAGGATGCTAGTATAGTTAGTTTCTAGTAAACAAGGAAAAGATAATAGTAACTGATATTTTTAAACTGCAGTACAAATCACTTTTACATATATTATTTTATGTGATGAAGATATACTCTTATTTCCATTTTATAGTTGGGAAAACTGCCCATATCGTTAATGATTGATTTAAAATAGTTGCTCTTTCTACTATGTCATGCTGCCAATCAAATACATCTTATGTACATACTTGATAACCAGATAAAATAGTAAAGTATTTACTTTGAGTTTATTGGTATTACCATTTGGGACAATATTGCAGAGCTGAACATAAAGATGCCAAGGTCAGATTTTTTGACCCATTTGAATAGTATAAATTAATTGCATTAGTAAACATAACCTGGCATATTATTTTGAGTTAATGTGAATAAGATACTACTGAAACCTCATAAATGTGTTTATATATTTGTATTTTATAAATAGGATGATTAATTTCTGAGATGTCGACTGGTTTCAGTGAATAATAAGAGTATTTTCTGCTTATGTATTCAGGATGCCTGGCATTTTAAATTCATTCATATGTGTATATATTGTGACCTTACTGATAAGCAATGTGAAAGTATGATAGATGACTCTCTAAGTAATGAGAGAGAATATTGAATTTTATAATCTAGGTAGGGGCTATATGACATTTTTTTACCTCTCTTGTACACTTCAGTTTAGTTGGTTTCACTAAGCACTTTTACATAAATAAAAGTTAATTTCAACTAGTATTAAAAGGCCAGTTTAATTTCTGATACTATTTTTACTTGATTTTTCTACTTTCTTAAGTTAGTAAGCATATAATTTTATAAACTACTATTTTTTCATTTTTGGAAGCCAAATAGTAAGAAAATTTTAAAATAAATGTTGTAATAACACATACTTTGAAAATGGATTGAGATCAAATGAGAAAATATTTAAAGACATACTGTTGGGTGTGGGTTAATCTGGAATTGAATTATATACATATAGGCTCTTTTAAATATTTGTACTTTACAGTTGGTTTTTAGCTTTTCTCTAGCAGTTTATATTTTCCTTTATCAACCTGATGACTTTAGGATATAATAGTCTATGTAACCTCTGCTATAATATAGTAGTCATTTATTAAATTTGCTGAATAAATGGTTACATTTTTTTATTAAATTTTTTAGATTATTCTACTACACTGAGCTACCTCAAGAAGGAACCTGTGATAATAATTTTCATTTTACTTTTTCCAGTTGTTGAGGAAATAAATTCTTATAAAGATGGTAGCTCTCTATAGTAGATATTTATTATAATTCAGGGAATCATTATTTTGAATATTTATGATCATTTTCTTTCCTTTGAGAAAAGGTTAGTCTGGCTGCTAAGAACATTCAGCAGTGTTTATTATTTATATTACTTGTTATTTGAGTTGATTTTTACTGTCTATGAAGTATGTAGAAAATATAATTCTCACATTAACATTTGTATTGAAGTTGATTATTGCTATAGAGTAATTTTTGAAATTTTTTCATTAGCAGTAAGAATTATAATAATGAATTGGCTGAAAAAGTGTCTTATTCAAATACAAAACAAAGGCACATAATTTAGCCATTTAATAAATTATCAACCTTCAAATTATTGATATTTCAATTACATTCACAAAATATAGTTTAAACTTTAAAAATATCATCTTTCAACTTTATTGAAACACAATTTATACAAATGAAATGTACCCATATTAAGTATGTAGTTATGATTTTGCTTAAATCTGTATCTTCATGTAATTGTCATTTCCCTTTTTAATTAGTTATGTGATTGCTCCCTGGTAAGCACTGTTCTGATTTTAGTTACTATATTGTTTCTCTGTTCTAGAACTTCACATAAATATATATTTTTTCTTCCTGGCATCTTTTGCCAGGCATATTTTTGAGATTCATTCATGTTTTTGTGTATATTAGTAGTTTATCCCTTTTTACTGCTGAATAATATTTCATTCTATAAAATATAGTCAGAAATTAGTTCATGTAGATGATGTTGAAATATTTTAACACTAAATTTGAAATATTTTCACTAATAAATTCTTCCACAAATAAATTGAGTGGCTTTTATATCAAAGGCTGTACCTACTTTCTTCATTCTTCCCATTGTTTTGCAAAGTGAATCTTCTAGATGGGGAAAATAAGGCAAAGTAAAGAGAAATTATTGTCTCATGGTTAAAAGGTAACCATAAGTCTGTTGATCTTAAGCCTTATTGGCCAGTTTATTTTAACTATTTTAATCACTTGCAAGATTTATATTGACAATAGTAAATCCTAAAGTTTATGAATGATGTTATTTTTGAACTATAAAAATATGATTTTATTTTTTTTCTATAAAATAGCACTGTCTGACTTTCTACATCCAGATTTGTTTTCTTAAGTGGGACATAAAATGTAGTTGAAGCTGATATGCACAGATTCTATGTCATTTGTCATGCTAGTTTATGTCATGCATCAGATCCTTCACTCATTAATTTACTTACTCATTTATTTAAGAATATTTGTTAGTATCTACTAAGTGCCAAACATTGCTCTGAGTACTTGGCATACATCAGTGAACTAAGTCGACAAAAATTGTGAAGTTTACATTTTTGTAGGCATGGCTCAAACATTAGACATCCAAGAAAGCAGACATTTATTATGGATAGGGAAAAAAATTGTAACTGCTCTTTTAAATCATGCTAAGGAAAATTATATGGAAAGCAACTTCATTTTTAGCTTGGCTTGTTTTTGTTAATTCCATTTATAAACCCTGCTAAGAACAATAAAATTTGGGGAAACATTCTCTTTAGAAACATTTAAAATGATATTAATTAAGAAAATGAGTACTTTTACTCCTACAATAATGTCTTACTTTTTACAACTCATGTAAGAGCAGTAGTGCTGTAAAATATAAAATTTAATACATTGGCTTTTTGATGGTGGTTTATGAAATCCCAAATTACTTTATATGACAAAAATGTATGCTTCTGTAAACTTTTGTTTCCATTCAATTTATATTATACTTTTCTTGGCTTTGAATATTTATGATAGCTTTTGTTGTAATTTTAGGTACAGTGTTACAGCACATCATCTTATTATTTCAATGATTCTTGTTTTGAAACCTCTTTACTTTCTTTTATCACAGTTATTTTCCTTAGTTAAATTTTACTATAAAGGGAACGATTAAAAGCTTTTTAATATCTTATTACTGTAGGATGAAATTACCTAGGGTATATTTTCAGCATATGGTAATAATAGCATTTTATAGTATATGTTGCCACAAACATTATAATTCTTTTGTTGACTTAATTAAATTCATCCCTTAGACCATCAGAGTGGATGCACTTTTTAAATTTGTTTTTAACTAGGAAGCTCTGAATGTGCATTTTTTCCTGTATAACGTGAAAAATAGATCTCACATAACTGGATTTTTACCTGAGATATCGAATAGACTTTAATTATTCTTATGTTTAGTGGATAGATGAGGGTATCTGTGGTTAAAGGAGCAGGGTTTTAAAAAGGAGTTTGAGCCAGAGACAGTGAACAGTGAGTGGTCAGTAAAAAGAGTGTTCTCAATAGACTTAAGAATAGTTATTAACACACAAAACACTGAATTTTTATTTGAATTATTAATTTTTTACTTAGTTTTCACACAATTCTCTGTGAGGATAATTATTTTCATTATGTGTTTTAAGTAGTGTGATCCAGTAACAATGAGGAAAAAATAGTGTAAGAATAAATGGGAAGTAAGTAGAATGTTTCCAGGATCTCATTTAAAGAGATTTTTTTTTCTTTAAATACTTAGTCATTTAAAAACCATTGAGGTTTGAGGTTCAAAAATAGAAAAATAGCAGCTCTGTGCTCTTAATTTTCCAAGCCTCTTCTCTGACTTTTCTATCTCGTCTAATAACTGTTTAATTAGTAGTAAAGTCTCCATCATGTTCAGTCTTGTATATAGAAACCATTTCTTTTCTTTTACAAGGAACTATGTGCTTGGAGATAATACTTTTCTTATGTAGCCCTGGAATTATCAAGTTGTGTTAATAATATATCTTTGCTTGCAAATTTTCTTTGTGTTATTTCCTAAGGGAATTCTAAGCCTAATCATGGAGAAGTGACAAATGAAACCAGTAACCAGTCTTGAGAAAGCATTTGTACTTTAAGATGCACAGTAACTCAGATTTAACTGATACTAGACTTCTCTTGCAGTTGTTAGTACTTTAAAATAAATTTGAGGAAGGAATAATCTAGCCTAATCCATATGAACCTTTGATTGTAATGTTTAGAGTGGTTGCCAGCTGCTTAGTGGCGGTGATAACTTGCTTGGCTAGTATGTATGTTGTTTTTAAAATTTATCCTAAAAGTGACAATTTGCCTGTCACCTGCAAAGTTAAGTGGTATAATGGTAGTTGAGCAGTGAGATAGAGGGGGATGGAGTTGAAATCTTGTAAGAATGAATTCACTCATAAAGAGAAAATGTTTCTTTTTGAGATAATGGAAAGATTAGTTCAGAATATGTGCTTGAATACATTTTGTTTGGTTTTGATTGATTACTCAAAGGTACAATCTTTTAATCTTCATATATGACCTGTTTTACAATGATATAAGTAAGAAAGATGATAATGGTGCTTTTAGAGGATTTTCAGTCTTAGAGCTAATTAAAAATGGTTGATTTAATATGCAGACTTAAAAGCTTTTGTTTTTTCCTTATTATAGTCACTTAAGTTATTTGCCACTCTGTAGACCAGTCAACACCAATGTGTTTCATTTAACTCCAAGAATCTCAGTATGTGGTATTTTTATATATCCTAAATGATTTAAATATGTATTTTTTCTTTCCACAGCATGTTGAGTCCATGAAGCACAGGACAATAAAGGTTCCTATTTACACAACCAAGAGAATCTCTTCGAAAGATTCACCACAGGACTACCAGAGACACTAATTTGAATCATCATGTGTTGAAACAGTAGGACACTACTACCTTTGCACTAACAGGAAACAGAATTACGATGTTTGCAATTCTTTGAACTCTAGAAAGCCAGGAGAGTGAGTTGAAAATCTGAAAATGCGGCCATGGACTGGTTCCTGGCGTTGGATTATGCTCATTCTTTTTGCCTGGGGGACCTTGCTGTTTTATATAGGTGGTCATTTGGTACGAGATAATGACCACCCTGATCACTCTAGCCGAGAACTGTCCAAGATCCTGGCAAAGCTTGAACGCTTAAAACAGCAAAATGAAGATTTGAGGCGAATGGCTGAATCTCTCCGGTAGGTTCTAAAGAACTGAAGGAATAGTGATGAAATATTGTACTTTGTTTTTAGGTGCAGGGTTTCTTTCACTCAGCTTAAAAAAAAATGATTTCTATACACTATTTTTGCAAAAATTTAAATGTCTTAGTAAGGTACTTTTTATACTAAAAATATCTATATACCTAACAGAATTCCTCAATAGTGGCAAATATTATTTTGCATATGTATTTTACTGTAGAAAAACTATGCCATTTAATTTATGTACTTATATTTCACTTATAATTATCTTCAGCATTTTGACAATTTTGATATATTAAATGCAAACCTTATATGATTTAAATTAGTGTATATTAAATTTTTTATCATGTGGACTATAACAAAAACTATCATTGAGAGACTGAGTTTGTTTAAACTATAACATTAAAATAAAGAAACAAAAATTTAGTCTTAAATAAAGTAACTGGGTCTGGAATCTAGAGAATTATTATCATTGCTACTTCTAGTCTATTAAAAAATGTGACATCTGTTAGAAGGAAGTCCAGATGGCCTTTGCTCACAGGTTTGGTGATTAGTGGGGGCCATCAGCTGGTCCCCTTCCATGTGGCTTCTCCAGCGGGATAGCCCGTGTTTCTTACCTAGTATTGTTCTAAGGGCAAGAGCAGGAACAACAAGTCCTCATGAGACCAGGCATCAGAAGTCACACAGTAAATACTACTTTGAGCACATTCTCTTAGTTTGCGCAAATCAAAGGGAACTCTGTATTCAGGAAATGAAGGGAGAAACTACAGAGAATTTGGAGCCATAATTAACCCACCATTCTCATCTCCAGAAGTACTATTGAATATATCAGATTAGGTCAAATCATGGAGGTCCTCAACAACCAGAATTTAGTTTAGACTTGGTTGTTAGATAATAGGGAGCCTTAGGATGTACAACTGAGGAACGACACAGTGAAAATGGCTTAGGAAGATCTAGATTTTCAAATGGATTTGGGGCATGTGCCTAACTGGAGTGAAATTAACTGGGAGACACAGTATTATTCTAGGCATGAAGTGACACTGACCTAGATTAAATTAATGATTGACTGTTAGTTTTTGTACCAACATATATGGGCTTGCTTACTCATGTTTCCTACATGCTTTTTTATTTGGCTTTCCCCAGACATCACTTTCTTTCTCATTATTTGCCAGCACATTAGGTGTTCATGCAGTAAGCTTCCTTTTAAAAACTTAGAAATCGTCACTTTTTGGCCTGCCACTTCCACGCTTCGTATTTGTTTCATTTTAACCCTTAGTAATGTGAAATTGCTATTGGTTCACAGAATCTTTGCTTTTTGGGATTTGAACCTGCCACTTTGCCTCTCAGTCAGAGTTGAAAGTTAGCAGAGAACACCTGAAAAATTATTGGAACTTGTTCAGAAACCCCTTGAGCTATGAACCTTCAACTAGACAGATGTCAAAACTGGACAGAATTTGTAAAATCTAAAGAGTACTTATTTGACACCTTTCCTCTTAACTTAAATCCTTGTTATTCTAGGCCCATTAATTTTGATAACACAACTTAAAAAATGCAAATGTGACTTTGTAACCTATTGGTATGTTTTTTCTATTTCTTTTGTTTTTTGCTTGGTGCAAGAAGGCAGAAAAAATTTCCTCTGGATTTTAGATGTCAGCTGTAAACTGTAAATTTACAAACTGCAAAGAATGTATAATTAACTTATGTTTTTCTGAGCTCTGAAATCTTTCCAAATATGATAGAGCTAAAGCATGAATCTTCCGGTAGAAAAATTTGTCCCAGACAGTAGAAGTATGGAACACTGTCATGGGTAGAAAGATAATTGATGTGCCGTTTCACAGGTCATACCTTCCTCTGTTTGAGAAGCTCGCATTAGAAAATGGGGATGCCTTTGTTTTCATTGGTTGATTGGAGAATTTGCTCACTGCTCTCTTCTCTGCAACTGCTCATCTCTCATGTAGAGTGTACTTACTATTTCTGAGCAAGTGGATGGGTTGGAATGCATAGTGCACTTGCCATGTGTCTACAAGCATAGCCTTCCGCTAAATGTGGTTTTATTTTTGCAACTCAGCATCTATTATTCCTTATGCTATCATGAATATCTTATTTTTCCTTAGGTTAGAATATTGTAGTGAGATTTTTAGTAAAGATATTTAGCCTTCCCAGCCTGACAATTAGATGCTTTCTTCAAGGAGTTTGTATCAACTTTTTAATATATTGCTGGATTAAATTCACCAGTGTTTTATTTTGGATTTTTTCTGTTAACAAGACACATTTAATGTAATTTTTTCTTATAATTTTTTTCTTTTCTTGTACAGTCCAGTTCTATCCTCCAGAAGCATTTGTGTAAAATTGGTATTCATTCTATATTAAATCTTTGTTAGAATTTCACTGGTGAGTCTTGCAGGTTTCTTGCCCTCCAGACCTTTGGCCTGCCTGTCTCAGGCCCACTGCAGCACTAAGTGGCAGGCGCAATCATGGAGATACTGGGTGTCCTTGTTGGTGAGATACCAGTAGAAATATCTCCAGGCAAACTGTTTTTGCATGTAGCCTCATGATTTGAGAGACTGTGTGGCTTTCATGTTGTGAAAATTAGGCAATTTCTTATCTGCCCTCTTGGGGTATTTAGGTATGTGCACATGCTTCTTGCCCACCACTACTCTCTATTTATAAAGGAGTTCATAAATGGCAATCATGTTTTTCTTGGGCATCAACATTGCCACAGCTGCTAAATTCAGGGCTGGAGCTGGAAGGGACCATGGTTTTTTTTTAATCCTTATTTTTTCATTCGTTGCCTTCTTTTGAATTGATGAAAATTTCTTACTATTATTCTGTTTTTCACTTACAGACTTCTAGTTATACCTTTTAATTAAGATTTCTAAAATTTATTTTTAGAGAGAGAGGAAGGGAAGGAGAAAGAGAGGGAAAGATATCAATGTGAGAAAGAAACATAGATTGATTGCCTCTTGTAGGTGCCCCAATGGGGGACTGAACATGCAACCCAGGCCTGTGCCCTGACCAGGAATTGAACCTGCAATCTTTCACTTTGCAGGTCAGTGCCCAACCAACTAAGCCACGCCAGTCAGGGCTTAATTTATTCTTTTAATGGCTGCCTTAGTTATTTTAAAATAGCCTTTTTTATTGTAGTCTATCACGAATTAATATTTTAATCATTTCTAGATTAATATAAGAATTTTATCCTAAAACTTTTAATCCTCCCAATCTACTTTTGGTCTTTTTATTGTCATATATTTTAACCCACTGTTTGTTAGAACCTGCACATTATCTTATTATAATTTTGATTTAATTTGTCCTAATTGTTTATAATTGGCCACATAGTTATTCTTTCTAATGTTCTTTATTCCTTCCTGCAGTTTAATTTTTCCATTCAATCCTTTTCTTTCAGCCTGAAAAATATCCTTTAGAATTCTTTATAGTATAAATTTGATGGCAATAAACTATCTTAGTTACTCTTCTTATGAAAAGTATTTTTTAGCATTCATTTTTGAGAGATATATTTGCTAGTGTAGAATTTAGTTTCACAGCACAGTAGTCCCCCTTTATCTGCCATTTAGCTTTTCTCATGGTTTAAGTTACTCATAGGCAACTGTGGTCTCAAATAATAAATAGGAAATTCCACAAATAAGCAATTCATGTTTTAGATTGTGTGCTCTTCTGAGTTGTGTGGTAAAATCTGCCCCATCCTGTTCCGTACCCCAACCCTGGAATGAATCATCCCTCTGTCCAGGGTGTCCATGCTATATGTGCTACTTAGTCACTTAGTAGTCATCTCAGTTATCAGATCAACTGTCCGCATATTGCATTGCTTGTGTTCAAGTAACCCTTATTTTACTTAATTATGTCTTATTCACCTCAGCTCATCTTATTATGTAGGTATTTATTTAATCATCTCATATTATCACAAGAAAAAGAAGGGTAACTACAGTACAGTAGATATTTTGAGAGACAGAGAAAGACCACATTCATATAACTCATTGCAGTATATTGTTATAATAGTTCTATTTTATTATTGTTGTTAATCTCTTACTGTGCTTAATTTATAAATTAAGCTTATCATAGGTATATAGATATAGATAAAAATATAGTTCATATAAGGTTAGCTACTATCCATGGTTTTGGGCATTCACTGGGGGTCTTGGAATGTATCCCCTGTGGATAAGGGGGAGACTACTGTAATATTTTACAGTACTTGAAATGTCTTTCCATTGTTTTTTTTTTTGGCTTTCATAGTTTCTACTGAGAAGTCAGCAATTTTAATTGAAGTGTTTCTTCCTGCCCCACTTTGGCTACATTTGCATTTTAATTTTTTCTTTTATGTTGTATGGTTGACCATGATGTGCCTACATATGGCTTTATTGTTCTCCAGCTTAAAAATTAACTTAGCTTTTCAATTCTGGGATTTTTTATGTCTTTTATATGTTCTAGAAAATCCTCAGCGATTATATGCTTAGCTACTGCTTCTGGACAGTGCTTTATCTTTTTATTTGTGGGAACTTCAATTATATACATCAGCAGACTTCCTAATGGTGTATCTCATGCCTTTTTATGTCTTTCTAAATTTCTCATTGTACTTCATTGTGTATATTTTCTTTTAAACTGGCTTTCAATTTATTTAACCTATCTTCTGTTGCATTCATTGTAATGTTGAACACAGTTAATAATTTTCATATATTTTGATTCTGTATTTTAAGTGATTATTTTTATAATTTCAGAATTTCTTTGTAAATTCTCCATTTTTATTTATCTTGTTTATGTTTCTTGCAATTTATTTAAATACATTGTTTTTCTAATATATTATATAATGTGCTAATATGTAGATGATATCTGGATCATATTTTGGTCAACTTGATTTTTCTTTTGATTATTGGTTAAATTTTTAGTCTCTTTGTTCTGTGGAGACTTCCCACTGGGTTATTGTGGGGGCAACTTTGCTCGCAAGTCCCCCCGTCTACCACGGACAAAAGTGAAACTGCTAAGACATG